ATGCAGACACTTAAGGCAGAGCTGATGCAGTTCAGTAATTTATTAACACAACATGAGGAACATAGGCTTATGAGATGGAGAGGCAAGATAGGGTCAAAACCTCTAATAAACAAGCAAAAGATCAAACACGGACATAAGCAGGGACCCAAGACATGAAGCACATGGCAACATAACAATCTGACAAGCGACAGAGGAATGTATGTATGGTGAGTGGCTGTTCAGGAAATAAGTTTCTGATGAGGAGTGTGCAGAGTGGGCCGGGTAACTGCAGAGCTGATGAGAGAAGTGGAAAAACTATGTTTTCGTCACCTTGTTAATATGGGACTTTTGGTGTTATCTTAGATTGAGATCTAAGCTAAGATAGTAACCTCAAATTTAAAAGTTAGGGTATGCGATTCTGGAGAAATCCAATACCAAGACAAACACCATGATGCAGAGCAAACAATAACATAGCCAAGTAATGTTAGCTAAGTTGCGGGTTAGCAAACTTTCACTACAGGTGCTGCTGAGAAACTAACATGGAGAGAGGCAGTACACCAGCTTTATCAATTTATGCGCATTTTGGAAAATCACATAAGAAAAGGTAGATGGCAAAAGCAAATTTGATTGAGGTGGTTTTGGCCTTTGTCGAAAACGTTCTGATGTAGTGAACTTGTAACTCACGGCTGATAAGCTGTTTTCGCTGTCAGCATCTTGCCAGATATTCCCATAACGTGCAGAGACATGGCTGGTAGCAACTTGCCCGCTTGAAACACATTACTGTGGACCACTCTCCATTTTTCTCAGATCAATGGCCCTCAGGTGCATGCGACTAGATTTGTTTCTGGTTTAGAACCCACATGTCTTGTTTATTACAGCTATGTGTAACGTCAACTACTGATGTAACTACGCTTGCCGTAGCCTGGTTTATTCACTCCAAACCAGATGATGGAAACTATTTTGCATTTAAGGAGGAGCTTTCTAGCGAGTCGAACCTCGTTTCCCCTGTCTCCTCGTCCACGCACCTAGCTTCTTACCACCACTGATTTTCAAGATCACTCTTGTAAAAGAGATATTTAATCTCAAGGAGTTTTTTTATCCTGGATAAATAAAGGTTTGAATGAAAGGTCAGTCCCATTTGTTCTTAGCCCTTATTGACTCAGGTGCCGATGAGAGTTTTCTTGACTGTGAGGTGGTAGAGCAGCTCGGTATCCCCACTGTTGACCTCAAGGAGCCGTTAGAGGCTAACGCCTAAGATGGCAGGTTGCTTGCCCGTGTCACTTCCCGCACCCGTCCAGTCCGTCTCCAACTGTCTGGAAATCATGTTGAAGAGATTAGCTTCTTTGTTATCAAAACCCTGTTTGTACTTGTTATTTTGGGGCACCCCTGGCTAGTGAAACACAACCCCCGTATTGATTGGCCCTCTGCTAAAATTACAGGATGGAGCACTCCCTGTCATGCTAGCTGTTTACATTCTGCCCAGCCCCAGGCTAATCCTCTTTTGAGTGTTTGTGATTCCAGCATAGACCTGGCCTGCATACCCTCTGACTACCTTGACCTTCAGGCCGTGTTCAGTAAGGACCAGGCGCTTTCACTGCCACCTCACCGACCCTATGATTGTGCCATAGAGCTTTTGTCTGGAGCCACTCTCCCCAGTAGCCGTCTCTACAGTCTCTCTAGGCCCGAGCGTGAGACCATGGAGGCTTACATTAAGAGTTCTCTGGCAGCAGGTATTATCCGCCCCTGCTAATCACTGGTAGGAGATGGTTTCTTTTTTGTGGGGAAGAAGGATGGGACCTTGAGACCGTGTATTGACTTTAGGTGCCTCAATGACATTACCATTAAAAACGAGTATCCGTTGCCTCTCATGACTTCTGCCTTTGACTCTCTCCAGGGTTCCAGTGTGCGCCCAGAATAAAAGCTCCAATCAACCAAGCTCCGGCCTGCTGCATCCAATGCCCATACTGTGCCAGCCTTGGTCCCATCTAGCCTTGGACTTCGTTACTGGCCTGCCTCCCTCTGACGGTAAGACAGTCATCCTCACAGTGGTTGACTGTTTTAGTAAATCTGTGCTCTTCTTATCTCTGCCTAAGTTAGCGCCAGGGAGATGTCAGAGGTTCTGGTGAGGAAGGTGTTCCGCCTCCACCTACCAGTTGACATTGTGTCAGATCGGGATCCTAGTTTGTGTTAGCTGTCTGGAAGGACTTCTGTAGGGCTTTGGGGGCCACCGTCAGCTTGTCTTCTGGCTACCATCCTTGTCTTCTGGCTACCATCCTGAGTCTAATGGGCAGGCTGAGAGGGAAAATCTGTCCACTCTGCGCTATATGGTGTCAACTAATCAAACCACCTGGGTGGCCCAGCTCCCCTGTGTCGAATATGCACATAACACCCTGCCCACTACCGCTACTGGTATTTCTCCATTCCAGCATGTTTATGGATTTCAGCCTCAGTTGTTTCCCTCCTTGGAAAAGGAGATTTCTGTCCCCTCTGTTCAGGCCCACATCCGCAGATGCCACCGGACTTGGCACCGTGCCCGCACCTCTCTGTTACGGATGGCTGCCCAGTATCAGCACTACGCTAACCGCCGCCGTATTCCTGCCCCCAGTTACACCAGGGGAGACAAGGTATGGCTTTCCACCAAGGACCTTCTCCTTAAGTCTGACTCCCGTATGCTCTCCCCCAGCTTCAGTGGTCCTTTTCCCATTGAGCGGGTTCTCAACCCCACTGTGGTCAGGCTTAAGCTCCCCCGTTCTATGAAGGTTCATCACTCTTTTCATGTTTCTCGCATCAAACCAGTCTCTATCAGTCCTCTGCTGCCTCCCCACCTCCCTCCTCCGCCCCCTAGGATGATTGATGATGCCCCGGCGTACACGGTTCGCAGGAGGAGCGGTGTTGTGTTCCCCGTCGCCAAATCCTGGACACCTCGTTGGTTAAGGCCTTCCATCGCCTGCACCCCGATAAGCCTGGTGGGCCGTTGGAGGGGTCGGTGAGGTACTGTCATGACGCCACAGGCAGGGAGGTGTTGTGGGTTTTTGAGCGAGTGAGTGGTGCTTGGTGGGTTTTGGTTTGAGTTTGTCTTTACGTTCCTCTGGCTTTCTCTCCCTCTCGCTCCTCTCTACCTTCCTCTCTCTCAGGCTGGAGTTATGGGCTGTGCCTCTGGTGCAGGTGTGCCAATTGCAGGCAATCTGCAATTGGCACACCTGTTTCCTGTGGCTATCTGCTCAGGCTCATATACCCTGCCTTCTCCTCTCTTCCCTGCCGGATTTTTAAGAGGGCTTTCACACCTACCTCGTTTGGTCCGGACTTTCGGACTTTTCAGTTTGGTCTGAACCAAAATTGCAGGTGTGAAACCTCCTCCGGACCAAAAGACGTAGTCGGATCAACCTGAAGCATGGTTCAGTTCGTTTCTGGTGTGAAAGCATTTTTTGGATGGTTCAGACTTTCAGACTATTTACAGGAAGTTCAGCGGTTGCCGTTTAAACAGGAAACAAATAAATGCATTGAAACAAGGACACAATTATAAATCTCCTGTGACAGCTCATCTTTTGATACAAACGGCCACTAGGCCTATAGTATCACACTGCCACCCATCTCTCAACGAGGATGTTTAATTGTGAATTTGAACTAGCCTTCAGTATAGTTGGTGCTGCAGGTAGTAGCCTAATACCATAATAATAACAATTTAGTGGCAAATATGCATATATACATTTTTTATTCATTAATTCTTGTCAAAGCTCCCTGCTGAATCTTTATAATAAACCAATCAATGTCAAGTACAGGGAGACGCAGCCAACCTAGATGATGACGACAGGACACAGGTCTGTCATGTAAAGTCCTTTAGTGCGGTCGCAGAATTACAGTGTGAAACCAAACCAAAACTAACTAAGTATTTTGGTTACTTTAGCATGTTAGACTTAGTTTAAAGTCAGAAAAAATATTTTCCAACTAGTTTTTATGTTGCTGAAAGCCACGATGCAGTTTTCTGATGTTTTTGGTTACTCCAAACCCACAGGCACGCCTGGGAGAGAAAATATGCCGTTCTCTGAATGTGCAGATTTGGAATTGTAACTGCCCAGAGGAATGGCAAGCATTATTACAGAAACACAACACACACAATCAAGTTAAGATAGAAGTGCTCATTTACTTTAGTCAAAACCAGGTAATCAGTCAGAACAGGCAAATATGTACAGGTATGGGTCAGGCAGAGAATCATCAGGTTGAGGAACAGGCAAATGATCAGGCAGGCAGAGACCAAAGGCTGGAAAGCTAAAATGGATGCAAACGAGTCAATCAGGTAGACTAAAAGCTGGCTGTAATTATGAGGAGCTGTTAAGTCAACATGTTTATTACAGCATGAACTACGTGCAGTATCTTGTTCTTTTGATTACCATGCTGTGTGTCATAAGCTGTTGTGACGTCTGTTGAGATAATTTGTAAATATTTAGAATGTTTCCAGGCAAAGGAGGCTCAAACAAACATTGCCCATCCTCCGATACACTTTGAATGAACTCTGCAACAAAGTTGCCACCTCAATGAATCAATATTGTGAAACCATACACGGATATAGTTGTGTTTTAGTTTCAATCTGTGTACTCATTCATGCAAACATGTGTTCACTGTGTATATTTTATAGTACTGTGTAGTATGGATCAATTCAGAGATAAGTCTTGTCCCAGTCAGGGGCAGTCTTAAACATAGCATGCTTGGGTGTAGCTGTAGTAATGAGGTAGTGTTTGAGAGACTGGAGACAATTTCTGTCTTCACTCTGGGCAGATGTAAGTTTTGGCGCGCACACACACACACACACACACACACACACACACACACACACACACACACACACACACACACAAATGAGATGGATTTCTAAGGATTTAAAGGCTTTGCCGGTTAAGAAGCATCAGCGTGTGTGTGTTGCATGAATGAGAAGGGAGGGAGATGTGTTTGTCTTAATGAATGAATGTCTGTCTCTCTCTCTCTCTCTCTCTCTCTCTCTCTCTCTCTCTCTGTCTGTCTCTGTCTGTCTCTGTGTGGGCTGTGTGTAAACTTTCACATGTTACCGATGCTGCTTACACACGGCTGAGCTCAATGATGGCAGAGAAGATATAAAACTTCAAGAACAAGAACAAGAGTCTGATTGAATCTACTCCGGATATCAACACACACTTTTATGAAGTAAGTAAGCGTTTTAATTAGTTATCCAGCACTGCATGTTTTTTGACACTGCACTGAACTGTAAAGCTACACGATATGTTTATTTAAAGTTTGTTTGTGACTACTTCCAGTTAACTTGGTGTCTGATGTACCTTAGGTAATGTATGGAAATAAAAGTATGTTTATATAGTATACTTTAAACATGTAGTATACTTTAAACAGGTGTATTAATCTATATCTTTAAATTAACAGTGGGATTAATGGCTATGCGTAATGTGAAAGGGGTCGTTCACAGTCAGCAGAAGTTAAACCAGGCTTCAACATAATCCTTGCTGTCAAAGGACGACCGTTAAAGTGCTTGATATGGTTGTGAATGGAGACTGGTGGTTTTTAACAGAGTAATGTTACTGAATTACTGCTGTTTCTTGTTAAACAAAAGGGATCTTAGTCTTAGTTTTTTTTTTTTAAATAGTCTATGTCTGTAGAGTTCCTTTCCATAATGTTGTCAAATACACTAAAAACAATCTGAGTTGGAGTGGCAAAAACAAGTACTTTCAATGGACGTACTGTGACGGTGACCAATTATGGAAGTCTTTATGGGACTTTTATTATTTGTAACCCACAGAAGACAATCCACAAATATGTACCATGATCCAAATATTTCACTATGTGTGAAATCATATCCACAAAAATAGGGAGCAATAGGTCTGCAACAGGTTTTGCACATTTGTGAATCGCTTCCTGTCAATTTGTGGGTCACTTTACATTTGTGACTTCTCTTCTATTTAGTTGTGGAATTTTGTCCGCTATGTACCGTGGAAATCTGTCTGGAAAAAAATCCTGTTAATGTGTCTGTCCTTAAAAATGATTGCTTTGAAATATGCATATAATTAACATACATGTGTGCTGTGAATCCAAACCTCTGGCTAAAGATTTTCTTAATCTTATTGACTCTGGATCTTGTGCTGTCGTATAGTTTATGTGTAACCATAAGTGAAATATGTGACACATGCATTTCAGACCATCTACCTGTCTTATTCACTGTGGCTCTCTCCTGTTCGGAGATTTCTACCTGTGCTCCTGCACGCAGTGTGATTGCAATTAACCCTTTAAATGCCTCTCAGTTTTCTGCTGCTTTTAAAAACTCATTGTTGTACAATCTTGATGGCTGCAACCTCTGTGTTGAGGAATTCACCTACCAACTGATTGTACTTGCACTGAGATATTGAACTGTGTTGCTCTGCTGAGGGAAAACCACTTTCAGAACCTTGGCTGAATGATACTACCTGCTCTCTCAGACGTGCCTGTAGAATAGCTGAGAGAAAGTGGAAAAAGGACAAACTTCAAGTCTCATTTGAAACATTGCGGAATACATTATCTAAATACCACAAAGCAGAAATCTGCTAAAACAAAATTTTTATCCCATGTAGTAGCAAGTAACAGCCAGAGGCCTGAGGTTCTTTTCGATGTTTTTAACTCTCTTGTTAACCCTCGCAAATCAGACTGTGTTGTGCCATCTGCAATTTTATGTGAAAACTTGCCGGTCTTAGCTTTTCACCAACTACATTTACCAGTGACCCCTCTGTTCCGCCTGTCTGCCCAGCTGTCTTCCCGCAGTTTGAGCTCGAGCTGTCTTTCTGACATAGTTAAACAACTACGTCCTGCAAACTGCCCCCTTGACAGTATTCCAGCACGCTTTTTGAAAGATGTTTTTAACACTGTTGGATCAAGCATTGTTGCCTTGGTTAATATATCTCTCAGCTCAGGGTGTGTTCCAGCTGCTTTCAAACACGCAGTTGTGCAACCACGTTTAAAAAAGAAGAATCTGGATACTTCCAACCTCTCTAATTTTAGACTTATCTTTAAGCCCCGTCACAGTACTGAAACTGCCCTTTAAGAGTTTTTAATCATCTCCTTTTAGCTGTTGACTCTGGAAACTCTGCTGTTTTAGTGCTTTTAGATTTGACTGCAGCCTTTGATGTGGTTAACCACTCTATTTTCTTATCCCAACTCGAACAGTGTGTCAGCATTAAGGGCACAGTCCTCAAATGGTTCAAATCATATCTGGCGGACAGAAGTTTCTCTGTTCAACTCCTTAAATTTTCTTCATCTGCTGCCCCTCTTTCTTGTGGGGTCCCCCAAGGGTCCATATTGGTTTTTTTTCACTGTACATGCTGCCATTGGGGTCTATTTTCAAAAAACACTATCTCCTTTCATTGCTTTGCAGACGATATACAAATCTATTTACACGTAAAATCTAATGATAAAGGTGCAACTCAGTCGTTGCTCAACTGCCTGAGAGATCTTAAAATATGGTTGAATCAGAACTTTCTCTGTCTGAATGCAAGTAAGACTGAGATTGTTGTGTTCAGTCGACCTGGGGATTTAAGTGCTTGTGTAGATGTGTGATCTTCGACAGTGCTTTTAAACAGATTAGTTCTGTAGTAAAACCCAGTTTCTTTCAGCTGAGTGTTGGCCAAAGTCCTACCTGCCACGCAAAGACTTTGAAAGAGCAATCCTTGCATTTATGACGTCTTGACTAGACTACTGTAATTCTTTGTATGTTGGAGTGGATCAGTTGTTTCTCCATCGGTTACAGTTAGTCCAGAATGCAGCAGCTCGACTTCTAACTAGAACTAAGCGTGAGCACATTACCCCTGTTTTAGCCTTGCTCCACTGGCTTCCTGTCCTCTTTAGGATTGATTTTATTGCTTGTCTTTAAAATTTTAAATGGGTTGGCACCTTCTTATTTATCAGAACTTTTACATATACACACTCCGGTCAAAGCACTGAGGTCATCCAATCAGATGCTCCTCAATGTCCCACATCCAGGCTAAAAACTAAAGGTGACCGAACCTTCTCAGTAGCTGCTCCTAATCTTTGGAACACTTTACCTGTTGAAATAAGAAATGCCTCTTTTTGGCATAGGACCACAAGGCCCAAGACATTCTAGGTTCAAATGCAGCCTGTTGCATTTCATCTCTATCTATACTGCTAATTACCATTTAGTTTTTCTACTGACAATGGCAAAATACCAAAGAATTATATACAAGAAGAATAAAAATACAAACTACCAAGCAGGTTAATAATCTCCCATCCTCCAACATAGCGATATGATGTCCCTTTTAACATGATTAAGTCTTCTAACATCCGGCACAAGGCTTGTGATAAGAACTTCCTATGAGACTTATTTTGAAACTGTCAAGATACACATCTTGTAGGGGCGACGGAGAGGGATCTCAGGGGCAGTTTCAGAAAGCAGCACTGTGGTTGAAGTTTCCTGCAGGACTGACAGTGCATGAATAAGACTATTTATACAGTATGTGACACATGCCACGTTAGTTATTTAAGAAGAAGCAGAACAATGTGGTTGAATCTTGAATGTACTCTTTTTCTCAGCAAATGGATGTTTCCCGACTTCTCTTCTTCATCTTCATGGTGATAACTACAGCTGAATGTTCAGGTAGGGTATACATTATGATTAAGAATGCAAGGAAACAGTGCAACAATGGATGTGTTAATGCAGCTCTAAGAGGTTGTCCCCATTGACCCAGACTGCGTGAGTGCTGAAGTGCACATATAGTGGAGGGCCCTTTTAATTGCCAGCACTGTCAAATATATTAATGGAGGGTAGTAGCCTGAATATACTGAATGCTATTACTACTACTTTTACTACGTCACCATATTTGGAGGAGACAAAGCCAGAAAATATTAGTCATGAATTTTATCTTGTCTGTATCTATGTTTTGATGGCTTTATATTGCATAGAAACAGGAATCTCATTACCCTTACAGATAACACCTAAAGGCTGGTGATGTTTCCTTATTGTGAACAAATTCCAACAATGAACAATGAATCTAACAAACAAGAGTTGCCTTTGTGGTCAAAGCCCATGACAGAGTTCCACTGTAGTCCAAAAACACATTCAAAACACATCAGTGACTGTTTCAATGCTGAACACACATTCAATGTTCTGTGTAACTCCTACATAATTTTTTTTGTTTGATAAACTTAAGTAAATTAGTGGGTATTTTCGAGGTTTACAACTGAACACTATCTATTTTCCATGTAAGTGGTATAACCAAATTAAGTAATAATTCCTCTTAACTTCTTAGGAAATAGCAGAACACCAAAAATAGGCTTGAGGTTAAGTGCCACACATGGACTGGAAAGGATATGGTATAGAACAATGTCATTCTTATTAAATACAGCACAAATCTAAATACAATAGCACTAAATATAGTTAATACATGTCTATTCTATCTGTATCTACATGTTAATGTCACTATTTCTGCTAGGTCCCCATGTAAATGGGAATAACAATGGGATCTTAAATGGTTATATTATTATTATCTCCACTGATATATACAGTGTGTGTGTGTGCGCGCGCGTATATATATATATATATATATATATATATATATATATATATATACACATACACAACAAACAATTGAACAGGTGTATCTAATAATGTGTGTATATATAAATATATGTACACACTCACTGTAAAATTTCAATTAAAAACCTAGGGTTAGAACAAGAAAAATGCAATTAGGAGCTAACCTGTAAGGTTTACGGTTTATATAATTGTATGTATAATCACCACCACCATTATCACGATCATCTTCTCATTTTCTTAATTTTCAGAGACAGACAAGTCCCAATGTATGGACTCTGACAAGGAGTCATTCAACCTTCTTGAAGGTGAAGCATTTTATTTTCTGCACCTGGATCTGCCTGACAACAACTTCACTGATGAAGAATTCAAATGGTACAAAAATACCTCCAGTTTCACAGACAACTCCAGTATTGAGGAAATCTCTACTAACGACAGTGAGCCGGTACATTACCACGGTGGCGCATTATTTTTCTTAAACCTCCTCTCTGAGAATTCTGGCTTTTACACTGCCCGGTAAGAATACTTGTCTGTTGATGTCTCTAAAATAATAAGTTAATTTGGATTATTTTCCTTATTTTTATCATTAAAAATAAGATCAAATTCATGTGATGCAACTCTTTTCAACATACTATAATTTTCCTACTGAGAACTTTTGCTAATTTTCTAGGCACGTAAAACCATCAGGAGAGTGTCATCGCTATCATGTACGAATTTACGTCGTCAAAACTAAAAATGACTCAGCACTGCTTTATGGACAAATCAATAACTCTGACGAGAACAAAAGGGTCCCATGTCCAAAACCTGTCATGGATATATGTGAAATTATGAAAGGAGAATTCACCTGGTACAAGGTATGACTTGTGACACCTGAATAATAGTGAATAACAATTGCGTTTTCCTAAACTGTAAACCTGTTATGTGACTACTTAAAATGAAATTGTATGTAAGTAAAAGCTTTTGGAAAGTTGATAATCTATTGTAATAATAACAGTAGCAGATACTCTGCAGTTCTGGTGCACAACATAGGGGTGAGCAGGTAGGATAAAAATGAGTGAAAAATAGTAATAGTGCCACTTTCATCAATCATTGTGTATTTGTATTGCTAAATATACCTCTCTGCTGATGCTGCACACACACATTTTCTACATTATAAGATATTTAATTTGGCAGCATGTGACCAAGACACACAGAAAGACTTCTGTCTCCATGTCCTCACTCGTCTGGGGGAGAAAATGATAGAGATAATGGTGGTGATGATATAGTCCGTTCTCAGAATGTCTGAGGAAATGACAGTTTCATATTAGTTTGCTTACAGGAAATTATCAGCAAACAAAGGGACACGTAAAGCTTTACTTAACGTTGTTTTAGAAGGCCAAACATATTGTAAAGTAATCTATAATTATACATAATAATTTTATATATTTTGGACTAAATGTTGTCTTTTTTTATGCGCATTATTCAGTTCAGTTCAACATGCTATACTGACATGAATGCTAAGAAAATTATTGCCAAGGCCTCAGTACATTACATAAAATGTTATTTTCCAACTTTTTGATTTTACAATGTTTGTATTTTTACTGGATAGCATCATACTCCCTTGTCTTGTTTCCAAATTCCTTTCATAGTCCTCTTCAAATTATCTTGCCCCTCCTTCGTTTCCGGCTGCAGGACTTCGTTTTTCTTGAAGGTGACAATAAAGCTGACCTGAGGATTAACAATGCAACCAAAGTTCACGAGGGCATCTACACTTGCACTTGTACCTGGACACACAATCACAAGGTGTACAACTCGTCAGGCTCCAGGAGGTTAATAGTTAAAGGTAAGAGAGAGTTATAGGTTTTTATGGGCCTTTGGTTGGGATAGTGGGAAGGGAAAGGAGTACAGGAGATCAGCTTGTTAGTCAAGTTACCTGATGGCATATAGACCAAAATCATCCATGTTTTTCTTGGTAGATGGTTCATGCCACCCACTAATGCTAAGACTTTACTTACAGTACAGGACACAAACCTAATTCAGGATTTGAATCAGAATTTCAGCATTTAAAAACTTGTCTGTTTAAGTTTTATTGTAATGACCTGTAGATAAAAGCACCTTTAATAATGAAACCTCATTATTAAAGGTTTTGATTTACAGTGGTATACATTCTCCACCACACAGTAAATATGAAACCGCAAATTTAACACCCTCAGAGTTAAAAGTAACACTCACCCAGGGTTTATATGGGAACCACTAATAAAGTGTAAAATTAACACTTTCGAATGAGTTAATAGTGTAAACACTATGACAGTGTTAACCAACAAACTCTTATAGTGTAAATTATTAACACCACAACTGATGACAGTAACACTATGTTGGTGTTCAAAGTTCACTTTTAGACACTTATGGAGTAACTGTTCAACACTGCCCCCAGTGATCAGTTAACACCCAACTAAAATGTTTACATGGTTTAATTTTCAAAAAACACCATATTTTTCTCATACTGCACATTGCTTTTCACCCTATGTGTTGTACGCTCTGCTCTTGAGCTACAGAGTGATGGATCTTACTTGTACCAAATCTTTGTTGGGAGTTGCACATGCGCAGTTCCCAGGTAAGGACTCCTAGCAAATCAGAAGCAGAGAAGGGCGGGTCGTAAGAAACAAGGTAGTGTGATTTTTATATACAGTCTATGAGTGTGATCCAAATCAAAGCCGCTTCAGACTGAGACCGTAACCTAGCAGATGGTCCATCAGATGGAACATCATCGTTCCACATCTTACAATAAACCGCTACAAAAATCACCATATTTCAACTCAATTTTACATAAAAATCGACCGAACAATTTGAACGTTTGCGCAGTAGCTTTCACATCAGGTGTAACATTACCATTTTATTGTAACTAATAACTTTAGCTGTGTTAGCCAACATTTACAACAACTCCGCACTTGAACTGTCTTGTCTGTGAAGTTACATTGCTGTATTTATTTTAAATATAATTCACAACCAATAAAGCATACTTACAGGTTGTGATTGTGAATTTCCAGGCCCAAATAGAGTCGCAGTTGCATCATCTTTTAGGACTAAATGTTGAACTGTTGCCGGTGTTCTGACGATCTATGCTGCCTTGCCGAAAAATGCTACCATAGCGCAAATCGATAGACTCGACTCTACTCGGCCCTGCTCCGTTTTCCATTGCAGGTAGTACCCAGAGATAGCACGTAGCTTGTTGTCATAGCGACACCACACACAACTGCCACGACATAATGTTCAATGCGACACACACACCAGCGATCTGCACAGCTTTCTCTTTTTTAAGTTAAAACGTTTCAACATTCCTCAGAATGTAAAGACAGATAAGCGGTATGAAAACTTCCAGCTGTGTTTTCCTCTGCCGTTGTTGCTGCAGCGGTCTGTGTGACGGCGGGAGCAGAGGGCTCTGTGAGCGGGCGGCTGGCTGGCCTCACACGCTCCTCCTGCGGGTTGTCTCAGGCTTCCCCCGCAGCCACTTGCTGAGCTCCTCAACGCCGACAATATTCAAGCACATTTTTATTCCGCCATCACTCCTCGTAAAACTGTCAATATTAGAAATCTACACAGCTGATTTCTCACCTTAAAACTTCTCAGAAGTGGATTTAGTGATGAAATTCCATATGAAAATTGCAAAATATAAAACTTTATGTTGCTGGCCTCTGTCTGGCGCACGTGATGATGACGCAGTGAATAGTGAATATTCTCTCTTTCACTGTGACGTCACAAGTAAAGAAAGTGAAGGGCTGGACTATAAACGAACTGTTTTCAAGCCGTTCGGAGCAGAGCTTTCTGTGGGAGATGGGAACTCCCTTTGGGCTGGTCTTTGGGCTTTTTCACTTTGCAAACCTGTTGCATGCACAAAAAAGATATATAACTCAATAAAGGAGTGGGGGAAAGCCAAAAAGCATTATACCACCTCTTTAACAAAAGCTTCACTTTTAAATTTGACAAGAAACAGAGAACAACAACGCCCTGTACAATGACCTTGTGCAATACTACTCAGAACACGAGGTAGCTCTCTTGCTTGCCCTAAATAATGCAGCTGTCTGGCACAACATAGAAAAATGAGTCTGTACCATATAACATTTGGACATCAAAGGGCTTAAAGTATCTCAAATCATGAGGTGTAACAACTGAAACATTATGCACATTGTCAACAACAAGAAATGCATGAAAATGCTCTACAAATGTAGTCTCAGTTTCCGATACCAAAAAATGGACTTCATTTCTCAGAAAGATGCAAACAATCTTATTGAAAACTGGCATCTCATGAACAAAATCTGTGGAAACATCAAGACCAGTATGATATTCAATACCATTGTGTTTAACCCAAGATGTGACACTTATCTCATCTGATATATCCATTTGAAAATGCTCTGAAATCAAGTCACCATTTTCAACATCAGTCAGTATTTTTGATTTGAAGGCCCCGACTCAATACCTTTGGCAGACAATGATTCCCAATGATAGGCAACAGCTATTTGGTGTTTCTTTGCAAGGGATTTAGTTATGTTCTTAAAGTTTTTTATGCTAGACTTAAAGAATTTATGTTTTGCTTCATATCTTATACTCCAAACATGTACTAAAGGACCAATTTGGCGTATACACTTGGGATAATGGATCATGAAGTAATGCTTTGGGATCAAATTATTTTGAGGATACAAATCTGTAAATAACCTGTGATGTTATTCAATAACATGTTTTAAATATACGGTCATTCCCTCTGTAATACATGGTGAAAATACAGTGTTTACAATGTGCAACAAAAGTAACAACAAATGCCAATGTGTGTCACCTTCTGGGACAACGTCACCGAAGATTAGTGGGAGGTTCGGAATAAGGCATAAGGTTTGACTGGCATCAAACCCAATACCACTGCCAGTACAAAACATGTTTATGCGTGTTGGACGATTCTTTGTATCCATGAAGCGATTGAATGAATATTCGCGTTGGAGAATTTTTTCATTACAAATAAAGGTCATACTGTGCAACATCTTCAAAGATATCATGCATGATGTCGAACACAAAGTTATCTGATACATTTAAGTATGACGTAGGAATTGAGAATACTATTGCGTTTGATCCCAAAACAAGAATTTTCACTTGGATTCGCCAAGATAACTGTAATGCTCCTCATTGGTTAATTTAGTGCGTAACATCACAGGTGGATCATTTTCACTAAACTAAGGACTAAGTATTTTGTCTTGGGAATGAAACAAAGAAATGAGATGGATATTCATCAGGGATGAATTGATGAGTGTAAAATGAGTGTAAAATATAAACATCGAAGCTTATGAATTCCTTGTTTTGACCCGAGTGGATTTGATGTTTCAAAGTCATCGTTATAAACTTGAATTTGTAACGAATTTAGGGATTTTGAATTCAATGGGTGATGTCGGTTGTATTTTCCATTACAGAAATCCTGATACAAGTTACTAAGAGCAGCAGATTTATTAATTTGACAACACACTTCCTTATTCTTGAAAATAAACTCCAATGTTTTTAACAGGGGTACATAAATGAAAGTGTCATTCACTGGTACCTGCTCATATACTCCAGATACTTTGTTTCTCTTTGAATCATATCTCACTCCTAAGTGAATTTCTACAGGTTCAACACCACCCAATTTCTCACTAAAATACTTTGTTCATTTTGAGTTTGTTTAACTCAATGGATTGAAAGTATTGCTGAAGACTTCTTCACTGCACTTCTACTGAGATTATCAGCAGGCACTGCACTTAACAGTTGTTCTTTAAGATTTGCATGAACTTCATTGACATACTCCTCCGTGCTTTCAACAATGGATAACACCACATTGTTGGCAACACCACTGCCCTGTAACTGAAGCGCACATATCTTTTGCGTGGTCTTTCGACATTTGAGATGTTGAAGGTTGACTGATCACATCTAGGTCCATGTCACAGGAATCTTCTTGTGAGCTCTGGTCACCTAAGTCTGACTGATGCGCTGTTTGCACATTAACAGTACTATGACAACAATTTAAATGCTTTCTAAAACCTGCATAACTTTTAAACTGCAATGAACATCCTTCTTGAGCACAATCCAACCATCCAACCATCCATCCATCCATCCATCCATCCATCCCTCCATCGTCACCCACTTATCCTGCGAACAGGGTCGCAGAGGGCTGGAGCCAATCCTAGCTGACGTCGGGCGAAAGGCAGGTTACACCCTGGACAGGTCACCAGTCCATCGCAGGGCCACACATAGACAGACAACCACTCACATCCACACCTAAGGACAATTTAGGGTCACCAATTAACCTAACCTGCATTGGAGGGAGGGAAGAAGCCGGAGCACCCGGAGAGAACCCATGCGGACATAGGGAGAACAGGCAAACTCCACACAGAAAGGCCGGGGGAACCTCCTACTGCATGACTGTGGGAAAAATTACATATCAAAGTTCTCTTTTTTGTAGGCTAAGGTGGTAGGATGTGCAGGAGCAGCAGGAAAGATGCCATATCACTGTCCCACTCTGTAAGAATAAAAAAAGTCCCTTTTGAAACTTAAGGGGCTTTCACACCTGAAAGTCCGCACGAAGGTCCGAACCAAAGTTCATGTTTTCGTACATTCAGTCAGTTTTATTTTGGTGAGGAGAAGAGAGCAAGCAATCCTTCTGCACTTCTGTTTGAGGAGAGACCAAAGGCGCGAGTGGCAGAGATTTATTATTGTGCCCTTATTTTAGAGTATTTCTCGTTCTATTTGTTTCTATTGGGTTTACACGGGAACTGCCAAACGTTCTGTACATGGTCTGAAAGTCCGAACCATCCCAAAAATGCTTTCACACTAGAAACAAACTGAACTATGTTTCAATTTGATCCAGATCGAGATTACCTCTTTTCGTCATACCAAATTTCTTCTGTTTGGTTCGGATCTAACTCAAAAGTCCGAAAGTCTGGACCAAAGGAGGTAGGTGTGAAAACCCCCTTAATTTCCAGGCCACTTAATCTACTGTCCCTAATTCTCTCTGGGTATCTGGGCACAAAGAAACATCTTAATTTATCAGCTTGTGATAAGTCATCATAAGTACCATGTATGACATGATGCATTGAAAATCATTTCATCTGCCTTTAACTGAATACCTGGGATATCCTCTGAAGATTCATCATTGTACTGATTCCTGGCAGACTTCACCAAACTCTGGAGCACTGGAGTGGTAGTACGACTCTCTGCTTCTCTGATCACCTTTTCTTTGTAGGCTATATACCACTTCTCAAGCAGTTTGGCAGCTGTTTCCGGTCCAAAGAGCAGGCTAAAATCTTGACATATCTGCAACAACAGAGAAATGAAAGAACATTTTTGGTTGCAATCACATGCCATACTTACATCTATGAACTGTGGTTACAGAACAGGATGCAAATACTTATCAGACCTTTAGTGTCCAGCAGTCTTGGAACCACAGAGTACGGTGTGTGATTCATTAGGATTGTGGATGGATGAGATGCTGTCTGTACTCATGGGTCACTGATGTGGTTCATCAAGGATATGACCTCTTTACACCGCTCTTCATCCAACTGACCACTTATCTAAGGCAGCTCCCTCTCATTTCTTGGACCACCTCCTCCCGTTGTCTGCGTTTTCAGTTCCTTGGACAAAGGTTTTGTCTTTCTCTGAATTGTCTTGAGTCACCATGCCAGAAATCCAGAGCTGCTTTGGCTGTTGTAAAAATGTTCCTTACCAAGGACAGAGACATAAATTAACTTCGCTATCAGCAAATAGAAGGAGTCCCATGTAACAATGTGTAGTAGTAGTAGTATAGTATAAATAAAAGTCAGGCATTAGTTTTAGGGTTATTCTGAAACAGACAGTCAATAGAATTAGAGGGTATGCACTGACACTACTTGACACTTTTTTGTGATACCACCCCTCCTCACAGAGTGGCTACACAAAGTGGCTATGGTTTCTACGAAACAGCAGAGCTGTGAACTTAAGCTCTTTCTACACGTTTACCCTACACACAGGTTATTGATATAGTAATGTATTTTTATTCGCTAAGGTTTTATTGCACGTACTTACAGTAATGAGCGTACCTGTCGTCAACTCAAGTATCGTTAGTCTGGAGCTAACGTTAACTTGAATTCACGGTCTCCACCGTGACGGAGCGGCATTTGAGTCTCTCTGCTGGCCTGCTGGCTGTGTGTGTGTGTGTGTGTGTGTGTATCTATGTAGGTGCCGAAAGAGAGTAGCGAGGCTGCAGCTTCCTTATAAACTGTCTCAGTCTGGTACCTACACCGGCCCGTTTAATACCGTGTTTCGGCCCCATCAATAAAAAACATTAGTTTTCTTATCCAACACGTTTCAAGTTAAATCAGATTTGACGCTTGAGACATAAAGTTATAGGACCCGCTAGTCTCGATAGCAGTATCGATAAGCTTGGACCTTATTGATTTTCGGGTTTCGAGAAATTTTGGAAACGGGTCCCTGGTAAAAGGTTATTGATCCCCATCCCTACTGATTTAACTATGATGTTACAAGGGTTTCCAACATTAATGTTATATGCACAATATACAGAATTAACGTAAGCCACTGCCCAGAAATAGTAACGTTAAACTTGCATCTGCAGTTCAATAAAAACGCTGCTTTGAAAGAAATGTTCAACTGTAAGTTAACCTTACCGTTAGATGAAACATTTTTTTAAATATCTTGTTAACTATACATTATCACGGTCTGTGTACGTTTTGATAGTTTGTTTTTTCGTTTGGATCATGAAACGAACAAACGGGAAAACCACCTTTTTCTTTTTGCCGTTTCAAACCAAAAACGAAGAAATGGAAAAAAAGAGCCAATCTCCCGTTTTTGGTTTCTGAATCCAAACGACAAAATCTAATTCAAATAGTCCAAACAAAGGCAGAAACCAGAAACAGGCCGTTTTTTGAATTTTCGAAAAATCTAATTTTTAAATCAAAACAAACAAAAAAATAATTCAGCACAATGTCTCGTTTTCCTTTCTTACTGACAAAACAAATTTATTACTCAATATTTCCTTTCATTGGTGGATTGGTGGACTTTATCAACCCCTGGCTTCTGATTGGATAGTGTGCTCTCTCAGTTATGTCTGTGCTTCAGGCTACTCTTCAAAATTAAGGTTCTCCCAAAGAATTTCCATTACTGCTGTGGCTCTCCCTCTTTGCCTTAAGACGATGCAATGTCTCCACAAAAATATACACTTAGATGACAGTTTATTAGCGAAAATTAAATAATGCATTAAATCCCCCTTCATGCTTAAGAGATTAACAGTTTATGAGAGGTAGCGATTCAACTGTATGGTCAGTTTGGAGCATGTAGCCTAGTTTGTGGTGCTGTTAAACTGTAATGAATTGAACAAAAGGTGTTTCTGTTATTTATTCTAGCCTCACAAGGCTTATTTTAGTAAATACTGTGGACAGTAAAGTGTTCTCAATTTTATAAAGATCGATGGCATCGAACCAACAGCAAGCACACAAAAAGGATTTATAATAAATGACCAGCAGGTGTCGCACTGCACCTCCCTCAGCTGTGATCACGTGGAGCCACTTGAGAAAACAGCTCCACTGAATTTATTCTGCAGTGTTTAAAGACTCATCACACCTGGTCTAGTTGGGCTTAGTTGTATGTCTACTCAAGACTGCTGACATTTGAACAAATTTCTGAGTAAGTGAAAGGGGTTTTGCACCTTTGTAGCCATAGAATATTATATTATTATAATTGTGTCTGAAGCTTCTATCCATCCATACCGTAGCCTATATGTGATGTGATTTTCAAAAATAGCCTTGATGGCAGATGCAAGCCAATAAGACTAAATAGCCGTATCATATTTTATTATCAATTACTATTCCCCAGGTTTTATCGAATTTGCAAATAAAACAGCTGGCTCATGTAAACATGACGCCAATGTAACCCCTAGTTGCTCCAGAGGCGTGCAACCTCTGACATATATAGCCACATATAGTAAGTCGCTTTGGATAAAAGTGTCAGCTAAATGAATAAATGTAAATGTAATGAACATAAAGCCAAAAACAGAGAACGTGATAAAATATGATCTACTCCACTGTGTCAAAACAGCAACCAGCTTTTGTTAAGTTTTAATAAACCACCATCAGGTAGTTGCCTAATAACATACGTACACTCCTGTGACCACTTTTCCCCTTGTAACCATAGCAAGCGCATTAGACTACTGAATCCCCTCTGTGAGTGTACGTATTATGATGGAGAACCCAAATGCCAGTGCACCAGAGATGAAAAATGGCGAAGGGGCAAATCTTTATATACACAGGGTCCTTCACGGTGTGAAGCGCATAGCGCAGTTACCTTTGGGGCGTGTCCAACTCCAATTTTGCTAGTTTGACGGCAGAAATAATTGTCTTGGTGCCGGGTGCATGGTTCAAAAGAGTTGTACTTAGTCTGTGAATAAGTCATGGGTGTGTAGGGCATAACATGCAATACGCCAATCAGTGTCATCTACCTTTTAAAGCCAGGTGCGCTTGTACTTTGGCATTGCTATTATAATAGCGTATGAATTGCTCATTGTGAAAATGAAAAAACAATTGACTTATTGAATTGCAGACTCACAGCAGAGAGAAGATATGGAAATAGCGTAAGTGTGGACGTGATATAAAAACCACCTCTGATGATGAAGCCTCTGTTGCTCTGTAGTTTATCAGTGAAGTGTCGGAACTCCAGCCTGTTGACAGACAGATGCTGTCTCCTCTATGAAACATCTGGATTCTCACTGCGCTGCATTTAAATTGTGATCCGGTTGTGGGTCACATCTCCCACACTGGTTTCTTTATTTTGTGTTTTATTGATGTATCAGTGTTTTCTTTAACGATTTATGTTGTACCCCTGGCCTGGTGGATGTCAGGGTGTGTGTGTGTGTCCTTAAATTCTGTATGCAGAAACAATGAGGCAGAAACTTTAGCTCGCATTCAGCTCAACTGCAGTATTTAAGCTGCTTCAACAAAAAAGGAATTAACGTTAGACTCGCTGTAATAATAAAACAAATTAGCATGTTGTAGCATCAGGTATTTCACAGTACTTTCAAATATGTAAGACATCACCATATCTTCAGAAAATACTAAAGTAATGATAACATACACTCACCTAAAGGATTATTAGGAACACCTGTTCATTTTATTATCTAATCAACCAATCACATGGCAGTTGCTTCAATGCATTTAGGGGTGTGGTCCTGGTCAAGACAATCTCCTGAACTCCAAACTGAATGTCAGAATGGGAAAGAAAGGTGATTTAAGCAATTTTGAGCGTGGCATGGTTGTTGGTGCCGGTCTGAGTATTTCACAATCTGCTCAGTTACTGGGATTTTCACTCACAACCATTTCTAGTGTTTACAAAGAATGGTGTGAAAAGGGAAAAACATCCAGTATGCGGCAGTCCTGTGGGCGAAAATGCCTTGTTGATGCTAGAGGTCAGAGGAGAATGGGCCGACCGATTCAAGCTGATAGAAGAGCAACTTTGACTGAAATAACCACTCGTTACAACCGAGGTATGCAGCAAAGCATTTGTGAAGCCACAACACGCACAGCCTTGAGGCGGATGGGTTACAACAGCAGAAGACCCCACCGGGTACCACTCATCTCCACTACAAATAGGAAAAAGAGGCTACAATTTGCAAGAGCTCACCAAAATTGGACAATTGAAGACTGGAAAAATGTTGCCTGGCCTGATGAGTCTCGATTTCTGTTGAGACATTCAGATGGCAGAGTCAGAATTTGGCGTAAACAGAATGAGAACATGGATCCATCATGCCTTGTTGCCACTGTGCAGGCTGGTGGTGGTGGTGTAATGGTGTGGGGGATTTTTTCTTGGCACACTTTAGGCCCCTTAGTGCCAATTGGGCATCGTTTAAATGCCACGGCCTACCTGAGCATTGTTTCTGACCATGTCCATCCCTTTATGGCCACCATGTACCCATCCTCTGATGGCTACTTCCAGCAGGATAATGCACCATGTCACAAAGCTCCAATCATTTCAAATTCATTTCTTGAACATGACATTGAGTTCACTGTACTAAAATGGCCCCCACAGTCACCAGATCTCAACCCAGTAGAGCATCTTTGGGATGTGGTGGAACGGGAGCTTCGTGCCCTGGATGTGCATCCCACAAATCTCCATCAACTGCAAGATGCTATCCATCAATATGGGCCAACATTTCTAAAGAATGCTTTCAGCACCTTGTTGAATCAATGCCACGTAGAATTAAGGCAGTTCTGAAGGCGAAAGGGGGTCAAACACAGTACTAGTATGGTGATCCTAATAATCCTTTAGGTGAGTGTATAGCACAGCAAAATAAACAATATAAATGTCTGTACTTTTCGTTGTGCTTCAGTTGACTTGAATTACATATTAACCAGTAGAACAACAAAAAACTAACTTGTTCTCATTTGGTTATTGTAACTAACATTTTCCTAAGTTCGACACTTTCATCACGTTGCACCTCAAACACCAATATACAAGCTTACAGTGAGTAACTAATACATTTGCCGCTCATTGCAGTAATGTTACTAAGTTACACTTCTGTAACACATTTATAAAATTACTGTATTTCCATCACTTTTCAAGTCGAGTACAATGCTTACATACACAAGGAAACCGTTTTAACATAATGTGTTATACACACATTAGCACTGAATGCATTTTCAGATCAGTTAACAACACAAAACTAACTTAGACCATTAGCGTTTGTATTATACTGTGGGTTACTCATTAGCAACAGGTCCACTAGCCTAGCATGGCAGTGTATAGCTAAACATCACTATTTCACACATCACGGCAAAACAACTCAACTCTAAACATTGCAACTTCTCACTAAGGATTCAAAACACACTTATCCCTTATACTAGGGTACATGCATGCATTTTGAGGAACATTAACCCACCTGTATGCAGAAACAATGAGGCAGAAACTTTAGCTTGCGTTCAGCTGCAGTATTTGTTCACATGAAGTGGGAAGAAGTTCCTCCCACGCGCTATGCGCCACCTAGTGACCTCTTTAAGTATCGCCCCACCAAAGTACAATACAAATTTATATGCGTCTTTTCTTTTTTAAACACATTGTTTATTTTAGCAATAAATGGTAGTATAATGAACGGAACTAACTACTACTGTGAACACATTTTTTAACCCTTTACATTTACTTTCATGATCAGAGAGGCTGCTCGCGGTGATTTTAAACGTCATGTGCGCAAGTCACAACAAATATAGTGGGCTATTTGTGCAGCAAAAAATAAAAAGGCTGAAGTAATTAACTTGACATGACAGGGCAGATGAAACTCTGCAGAGGAACTAGAATTCCACTTTTAGATTCTGAAATAATTTAGATACTCTGATGGCGCTCAGGACTGATCAGGAGGACGGCTGCTTTACGTCAAACAGTTTCTCTGTATGAACCTGGACTGTGTGTGAGAGATTTTAGTTGTCATTTTTACACCAAACGCCCATGTTGTTTAAATAGCAAATTGTGCGCCCGTGGGAGTGTTAAAATAAGATGTGGTCACTCAGGCAAATTGTTGGCGCATTCCTATTTTGAAAACAGAAAGCGACTGTACCATTGACCAAATGGCAAGTCAACGGCACAGAATTTCACTGTTCGTTTTTGGTATTTTCGGGGCGCATTACTCTACTTTACGCACGAGGCACAGCAACATAACTTAATCTTAAAATCTCCCGACAAGTGACAGGATCGGTCAGGATCTAATGTTAATTGATGTTCTGCGTTCTTCTCCACATCTGAAAGGTCTGGCACACAGTCCAGTGAAACTGGAGTAAAGCAGCTCTCCTCCTGATCAATCCTGAGCCCCCACAGAGTGTCTAAATTATTTCAGAAGCTAAAAGTTGAATGCTCATACTTTGTGGAGAGTTTCCTCTGTCCTGTTATGTCAAGTTTATAACAATTTATTTTTGCTTCTTGAATGCCCCACAATATTTGTTGCGACTTTTTTGCATATGGAAACGTTTTAAATGACTGACAGCAGCCTCTCTAATCATAAAAATAAATCATTAAAGAAAACACTCATTCCGCAATAAAACACAAAATGATTAAATCACTGCAGGGGATAGATGTGACCCCCCGACCGGTTCATCATAGTATCTAATAATGCAGGGTAGTGAGGATCCAGATGTTTCATAGAGGAGACAGCATCTGTCTGTCTGTTAACAGACTCCAGTCTGCTTCACTGATAAACACAGAGCTGCAGAGGAAATTTGGCTTCATGAGACAGTTTTTATATCGCTATGAAACTGCTGATCAATCAGTCAATTTATGTTTTTATAATGCGTCATTCATCCGCTGATCAATCAGTCAATTTATGTTTTTATAATGCGTCATTCATCCGCTGTTATCAATTTGATCACATCACATTTTACAGATGGTGTTGGAACAGCTTAAATAACAGGACTCCTGGGAACTTCTTGACCGCACCTGGTTCCAAATCAAGGCACATATCATATCATCAACTCAGATTGACACATTTCAGTATACAGATCTCTTACTTATTCAACCAAGGTACAAACACAAACGACAATGTAGACTAATAGGCTACAATTATTATAATGATTACATTATTTACAATTAAAAGGGGGTGTGCCTTGACGTTCTCGTTTGATCATGTGGGAAACCTCTGCCGCAGACAGCGGCCGTTTTAATTGCAAATTTAGTGAAACCAGAACTAGCTTAATAATAAATTATGATATAGTTATTTAGTCTTATTGGGTGGCATCTCCCATCAAGGCTCATTTTTGAAAATCACATCAGGTACCGATATTGATGGATAGAGGCTAAGTGTACTAAAGGATAATCTGTGGCTACAAAAGTGCAAACCCCCTTTTTTTAACTCAGAAATTTGTTCAAATGTCAGCAGTCTTGAGTAGACATACAACTAAGCCCAACTAGACCAGGTGTGATGAGTCTTTAAACACTGCAGAATTAATTCAGTGGAGCTGTTTTCTCAAGTGGCTCCAGGTGGTCACAGCTGAGGGAGGTGCAGTGCGACACCTGCTGGTCATTTATTATAAATCCTTTTTGTGTGCTCGCTGTTGGTTCGATGCCATCGATCTTTACTGTCCACAGCATTTACTAAAATAAGCATAAATCTGTAATGCTAAATAACAGGAATACCTTTGTCTGTCAATCTCTTAATCATGAAGGCGGATTTATTGCATTATAATAATAAACTGTCATCTAAGTGTATATTTTTGTGTAGACATTGCATTGTCTTAAGGCAAAGAGGGAGAGCCACAGCAGTAATGGAAATTCTTTGAAGAATAGCCTTAAGTACAAATAAGTGATGGAGCACACTATCCAATCAGAAGCAAGGGGTTGATGAAGTCCCACCCACCAATGAAAGGAAATATTGAGTAATAAATTCGTATTCTTGTTTTGATAAAAAACAAAACAAAAAATTAAACTGAACGTTTCGGGCCAAAACTCAAAAAACGGAAAAACGGCCTTTTTCTGGCTTCTGCCTTAGTTAATTATACCAAAAAAACAAACTATCAAAACGTACACAGATCCCACAGTTTTTCTGTTTTAAACCCATAACGGAAAACAAAGGAGCTGCATTGGTGCTATCCCCACAACCCGTTCTCACTCCCGACTCCTCACATAGGTCTCTGGCATGCAAGGCTTATTTATGGTCAAGTCTGATCTGAAGCAGCTGGTTATGTTCAACTGTAACTAATAGATGCTATCAAGCTGATATACAGTAGAACAACATAGTGTTTCTGAGGGCCTTGCCTGACTGATTACTGCACAAAAACACAACTTTATTCGCTGATTTTGGTGAAACTGGATTGCTAAAGTTAGCGCTAGCTGCACGGCTAACTGTGCTGCTACTAACTGCTGTTAGTTATTAGCTTTCAAACGCTACCACGGTGCTCAGAGCTCCCTCAGAGCACCACGTGCATAAATCCGTTGTGTTAGGACCACGTTGAATTAAGGATATAACACTGGAGTGTGACCATTGTCAAATGTCCTATAGAAGAGAACTGATATTTTGTTTTGTTTTTGCTTCCCTACAGATCGAGTTATTCACCGTGACCCAGAAATCCTCTCCGCACTAGGCGAGCAGTATGCTGATGAAGGTAGGAAAACTTCACCTAATAATAACAGCACAGTGCTGTCGTTACTCTAAATACAACAATTATTTTATGTACTCAACCGCTCACTGCAATGCAGAATTATTTCCCAGGTGTGTATGTGTATGTATATCTATATAGATAACCGATATATTGTTTTATTTTATTCATTTTATTTACTTTATTAATTTTATCCCTTAAGTTCTCTGTGTTTGTAGCATGAAGGCCCTACAAACTCTCACTTCATTGTACAACCTTGTGTTGTCTAATGATAAACTACCTTAATTCCTTGATACATCAGTACCATAGTGTGTGTCCATGATTGTGTGTTGGCTAATTTTCATGTTGCAGATTCAGTGTTTCCCCAGAATTCCATCAGTTTTGTTTTACCAGTTTTTTTTTTTTAGGTTTATCAATGTGAATGTTAAAATCACCAGTGCTGAAAATTACAAGAAAAAAATCTGTTGAGAAAGCATAAAGCATCTCAGCAAAGTTAGGATTTCTTTTCAACACAGTGCCAATATATTCAAAAGGAGGCAACATCACCATATGATAACTGCTTGCATTAAAAGCCTTTAAAATAGCATAAACACTACCACTTTTCACTACCACATTCATATAATTAACGTTTGGAAGGGTTGACTGAATGAGTACTTGTGCACTGCTATTATTATCTAGCCAGGATTCAGTTAAAAGCATAAAGTCAATGGTGGAGGTAGATGCCAAGGTGGAGTTAGAGGGGACAAAATAAGAATAGGGCGGGGTGTAAGTGATCTCAGCAGTGACCAGGTCTTTCATTTGATCAGTGAACTCTAGCAGGGGAGAGGAGGGGGTGACTGGAGAGGAGGAATAGTGGAGTGAATCCTTACAGGTGGTAACTGGCATGTGGGATGGAGACTCTCTGTCTCAGCTCTGACGCCCCTCATGTTTTAAACTCTCTTCAGGTAGGAGCAGAAGTGGTTGTTCTTCAGGGTTCTTGGTTTGTTGTTTTATATCTTGACAACCTTAATGTGCACCAGATCACATCTTAAAAACACTTTAACTTGCAAGATAAAATGAATGCGAGGACAGAGATCACTGTTCAAACCGGTTAGGTTCACAGCACATGTTGCTATGACAACTAACTCAGAGTTAAGGTCATCTCTGTTTCTGGAAGTTTCCCTCATCTCAACAAACTCATGTGTTTTCACTTTGACCCGTTTCTGGAGCGAACTCCTGTGGAGTTTTTTTGTAAACAAACAATCCCTGATGTCGAACAAATGAGTTGAATGCATTTTCTTCCTCATAAATTATTTGCAGAGCTGACTGAAGTGGTTTAAATCCAGCATTGTTTTCATCCATGTGTAGTTGCTTGTGGTGTTCTGAAAAATTGTAAAATAGCAAAAACACACTGTGTGTTCTGACACCTTCCTAACCTACATCAACTTTTTTAACAATTTGGCCTACAGTAGCTTGTCTGTTGGTTAGGATAATCTGTTTGGTGTACTGATGTTTTATTGTGTTTTTTTCTCTTGTAATGTGTTCTGTGTGGACCCCAGGAAGAGTAAATAATGTGTTTGCATCAGCTAATGGGGATCCTAATAAATCAAATCAAATTTGAAAATTGGTTAAAACAAGCTGTACAAGCCACTTAAAAACAAATCTGTTTCTTGTCTCTTATGAAATGTTTTGTTTCTACCAGGCTTTGGGATCAAGCTGAACTGCTCAGTGTTGTGCGGGACTAATGTTAAACCTCACTGTAAAGCTAGCTGGAATTTTAGTGGAATCCCCAAACAGACCGATGGACACAATCAAACCACAGAAGTGTAAGCCTTATCAATACAATGTCTGAAATGCACACGTGCACAATATGTAACGGTTATAATTTGTATACTGTGATTGCACATTTGTAATATACTGTACACTCATTCAGACATGTACACTCATGCACACTGAGTAAATATACACATTACACTACATCTGTGTTTAAACCAACAACTGTAGCCTATATAAAGATGGATGATGAGGTGAAACCCCCTTTATATAGAATCAAATAACTTATTAAAACCATACTTATCAGAACATTCACTTGAACATACACATCAATGTGATAAAAACTACCTAATATGACAATATATAACCTTTGTTTTAAAAAACCTTTCTACTATAAAATATATTTTTAAAGATTCTGTGCATTTCCTTGCCCTGGTTGGCTGTGAACCACTTCAGTCTCTGTAACCAACAATGATAACTTTTGTCTCCTTTCCTTTAATGAACTGTGTGTCCTTTGTTAGGGCCATGATGGGCCCTTCAAAGAATACCATCTCCACTGCAATCCTGACCATTGAAAAAGTGTCTGCTAGAGATTTCCAGGCTAAATTTGAATGCATCGGCAGGGGCTTCTACAAATCGGTGTCTGGCATTGTAACTCTTAAGAGGAGAGGTCAGTGACAGAATAATTGCATGTTTGCCATGGCTAAGAGTATATCAGGCTTTGGCTACATATATAATACTTCTTAGTTGAAATAATTAATTGTTGGTTTTGGCGATTTTGTAGAATTTGTTGACAGTACAAAAAATATCGCACACACATTTTTTTTATACTTTAATTTTGTGTTTGTTTTCCAGAGTCAATAATTCCAGTGGTCACTGGCGGATTGTGTGTGTTGTTCTTCTGTGTGTTTGCTGCCATGCTGGTCAAGTGCTTCGCTATCGACCTCGCTCTCTTCTTTAGACCCTACTTCCCACTAAGCAGTCACAATATAGGTAAGGCATCATGTTGGGGCTGAAGACTACAAGTCTGAAAATGAAGAAAATCTTGGGGGGGTGGAGTTAGAAATAAGTGAGCTTATCTGAGCTTACCAGCAATTTACATTAGCTGCTAACATACCCGAATCGCCCACCAATCTTCCATTGCTGGAGGTGGGTGTCAGGTTTTGACAAGCAAGAAGAAAGTGTGGAATCTGCTGCATCAGTCTTACAGGAGTGCAATGCAAATTGATAGTGTCTGACACATCTGCACAGACACTGATGCAAATGCTTCCAGAAGCAGAATTCAAGCCACATGCAGAGGATGTTTTTGGGTTAGTTAAGTTAACATGTTTTATTTCTCATAGGTTTGATATGTCTGCGGCGCCATCTTGGTGGTGGCCGCCTATGGATTACACCCCATTGTGGTTTTTGTGTTCCTGTTATGAACTCTGTTTTCTGCTGTCCCTCTCTGGTAATATTTACATTGGACTTTCAACTGCCCACACTATTCCACCACTCTTTACCTGAAACCTGAAAGTTTCGCGGAATTATTAGTTGGAGGAGCAGCTGCTCTGCACGGGATCTATCAGGGGAATCGTGCTGGCTCACTGGTTAAACTGAGACAGCGGGGTTTTCGCACTGCTCTCTCTTCTATCCACCTGGTGAATGTCCGCTCTCTGGCCAACAAACTGCTACTCCTCAACAGAACTAACTCAGACTTCTGCAGATCTGACGCCCTCTGTTTTACCGAATACTGGTTCTCTCAGCACATCCCAGCTCGGCGACTTCAGCTCAGCGTTCAACACCATCATCCCGGACATCCTCCTCTTCAAACTCACCCAGCTCACTGCCAGCCTCCACCTGTCAGAGCAGAGGCTCACAAACATCCTGACTGACAGGAGTCAGCAGGTGAGGCTGAGGAACATCACATCCAGCACCCAGACTATTAGCACCGGCGCCCCCCAGGGGTGTGTGCTCTCCCCACTGCTATTCTCCCTCTACACCAACGACTGCACCTCAGGAGACCCATCTGTCAAATTCCTGAAGTTTGCTGACGACACAACGGTCATCAGCCTCATCCGGGGCGGTGATAAGTTGGCCTACAGATGGGAGGTTGATCAGCTGGCTCTCTGGTGCAGTCATAACAACCTGAAGCTAAAGATGCTCAAAACTGCGGAGATGACAGCGCATCTGCTATGACGTCTGCTCCTTTAATATGTCGAATCTGAAGATCATGGGCCTGCAAAAACAACGACCACCTCATGAGTCTCTGATTTGGACATTTAGACAACTGTAAAAACGTTAGAGGGTTATGATCTGTGTACACAATGAGTGGCGCGCCTCCTATGTACACCTCAAAATGCTTCAACGCCCAAGTGCCAGTGCTTCCTTCTCTATTACCGAGTAATTAAACTGGTTGTGGTTGAACGTCTTAGAAAAAAAACTAACTGGTCTTACCACCCCCTGATCATCCCCCTGAAACAAGACCGCACCTGCTTCCACCTGGCTGGCATCTACCTGGAGAATAAAGGTTTTATCAAAACGTGGGGACGAACATAAAAGAGACTTGATACTATCAAGGCTTGCTGACATACAGAGGACCAAACAAACTTTACCCTAGCCTTCAACAGCTCAGTCAAAGGAAACACCACAGTCGAAAAGCTTTTTTGTTGTAAGCTGAGGATACGTCTCTACTGCCCTCACCTTGTCCTGAACACCCACTACGCGGCCCAAATATGTTACAGTAGCCCTAGCAAAGTCACACTTAGCCAAATTGATGGTAAGGCATGCCTCAGCCAACCGCTCAAACAAAGCCCGAATGCGCTGAAAGTGAGAGTGCCATGTGTCACTGTAGATGACCAGGTCATCCAGATAAACAGCACAACCCTCCAAACCAGACACAACATGATTCATCAGGCGCTGGAACGTTGCGGGTGCGTTCCTTAAACCAAATGGCATCACTCTATAGGAATATAGACCAGACTGTGCAACAAATGCAGATATTTCCTGAGCATGCTGAGACAAAGGCACCTGCCAATATCCTTTAAGCAGATCAACTTGCTAACAAACCTGGCGGACCCCACCTGATCGACACAGTCATCCATCCGCGGCAGCGGAAAGGAGTCTGGTTTTGTGACAGAATTTACTTTTCTAAAATCCGTACAAAACCTAGGTGTTTTATCTGCCTTGGGAACCAAAATGCAAGGAGATGACCAATTCGAGGATGACGGTAATTGATTTCAGAATCTAAATGTTTGAGTTTCTCTGGGGACATGCGATAAAACCACTGTTTAATTGGCTGCGCATCTCCGACATCAATATCATGTTCAATCCAGTCTGTGCAAGTAGGAACATCACCAAACAGACAGGGATATTTCTGCACCAAATCAGACAGCTCACCACGTTTGGACTCAGATAAATGGGATAACAGTTTGTCTAAGTTTTTGAGTGACTGTGAATTATTCAACCTGCCATATAATAAACTATCATTAGGCTCCGGCACCCCATCTCCCTCCTGCGACCCCGAAACTGAGCTGACCAAGAGAGCAGGTCGCACCTCATTTTTAACTGCCTGGCTGACCTCAGCATCACTATTGTAATAAGGTTTCAGAAGGTTGACATGACACAGTTGTGTTGATTTCCTCCGTCCTGGGGTTGCAATGACATAATTCAAATCAGACATTTTTTCAGCGACTGTGTAAGGACCAGTATACTTGGCCTGAAATGGAGAGCCCACAATCGGCATAAGAGCGAGAACCTGGTCTCCAGGACTAAACTCCTGGCGTTCTGTACAGCGATCATACATCTTTTTCATTCTGCTCTGTGACATCTGCAACTTTCCCCTTGCCATCCCCCCTGCTACAAACAACCGATGTCTAAACCCGTTTACAAAGTCAATAAAATTTTTAGGCGGTTCAGCATCCACCCAGCTATCCTTCAACACTGCCAAGGGCCCCTGCACTGTATGTCCAAAAACCAGCTAATTCGGACTAAACCCTGTGCTCTCCTGCACAGCCTCTCTAGCAGCCAACATTAACCATGGAAGACCCTCCTCGTAGTCTTTATCCAGCTCGGTGCAATACGCACGCAAGAGTGACTTCGGAGTCTGGTGGAATCTCTCCAGGGCACCCTGGCTCTGTGCATGGTACGCCGATGACTGACAATGCTGCACATGTGACAACTTTAAAACAACAAAACAAACAAAAAAAGTATCTGGGTCTCTCTCATTAAACTATGGTAACAATTGTAGATTATTAATATCAAAGGGACGCACGCCAGCAGGCAAATGCTTACTGCCATCTCCACCCAGAGACAGGCGATATCCCTCTAGATCTAACTCTAGATCTTTCTGTCTGCTGACGAATCATCTCCACATCAATTTATTTACGCACTGAAGACGGACATGCCCCCAAGCAAAGCTTCACCACGTTCGCCACTAACCCAGATCAGCTCAACGAGCCCAAAAGGGGACCGTCGCTACAGCCTACAAGAGAAAACTGCACCGCTTGTTAAACAATAGCACCCGAGGACCCACACCTGTCACCTGCCACGTCTGGACTAAAATTCTCCTTCCTCAGCCTCAGGTAAGAAAAATCCAGCAACAAATTAATTCCAAACACAAGTAAATGACACTTACCCTGCTAAATCAGCCAAAATACACTACTCCCTTTCCTTCAGACACCCCAAGCAAACCACTACTTACCACAATAAGACAAAAAGGGAACATACACCGAAAACTCATCGTACTTGAGCTGCCATGCTCACAAACAAACCGGACTTGATAGCCAAACAAAACAACACGCGCGACTAACTATCAACTGTTTGAGCACAACCAAACCTATTTTGAACAAATCTCTAAATATTTCACATAGATCGCGTTACTCAAATAGTTCCAAAACGGACGAGCCCCCATTTTGTCATGACCAGGCTCGAAGGCCATGACAAAAAGTAGGAAAGGACACAGTGATTCAATTAACAAGATTTATTGTAACATAAGATGAACAAAATAATGCTTAAATTATGGAATGGGTTAGTCAGCAGCGTCAGTAGTGTAAGTGTGGATGATTGATTGTGGTGTAGAGAGTTGTGGTGTTCAAATAAAACAAACATGCGAAAACCAAAGGTGTAGCAGCTGGCAGGGAGGATGAGAGAGAGAGATGATCTTGGAGGTGGAGCTTTTATCTCCTGTGGAGCACTGGGACCAGGTGTTCCCGATCAGGGAGGGACCACTGCAATCAGCTCCTCAAACAGAAAACCACATCACCATTGCAGTACTGACAAACCTACACAGTCAAGCCACACAGGGGCGTCACATCGTGGACTTCAGGAGAAGCCCCCGCACTCTGCCCACCATCACCATACTCAACAGCCTTGTGTCTGCTGTGGAATCCTTCAGGTTTCTGGGATCCACTATATCCCAGGACCTGAAGTGGGAGCCAAACACTGACACAATCATCAAGAAGGCCCAACAGAGGATGTTCTTCCTGCGCCAGCCTAGGAAGCTCAACCTTCCTGAGGAGCTGCTGATCCACTTTTACACAGCCATCATCCAGTCTGTCCTCTGCATGTCCATCACTGTCTGGTTTGGATCTGCCACCAAAAGGACAAGGACAGGAACAGACTACAAAGGACAGTTAGGACAGCAGAAAAAATCATGGGTGCCAACCTGCCCTCCATTCAGGACTTATGCATTTCCAGAGTCAGGAAATGGGCAGGAAACATCACTGCAGATCCATCTCAGCCTGGACACAACCTGTTCCAGCTACTCTACTTTGGTAGGCGCTACAGAGCACTGTACGCCAAAACCAACAGACACAGTAACAGGCCATCACTCTGATGAACAGCGGATTTCTGACCCACAGTGTCAGGAACAATTCCTGTGCAATAACCGAGTAACTCTGCCTCTAATCTAAAACCTGTTTACTGGTTACGACTTTTTATTTATTCATCATTTTCTATTTCAGTGCTGTTCATACTGTTCATATTATATATTGTATGTACTGTATACCAAATCCACCTACCTCAAGTTCATGACACCTGCATATAATACTTATTTATTCCAGCATCCTTTGCTCCATTGCACTGTGTACATGTGTACATGTATGCATGGACTATGTGTATGTGTCCCTGTATATCACATCCACTTCCAACATGTACATTATAATGATAATAATAATGTTACTCATTCTTTACTGCATTCTTTGCATTCTGCTCACTGCACTATTTGTCAATCTGTCTATTGTTTTTGTTTAGTGTGTATATTTGTGTTCTCTATACTGTAGCCTGTGTCTGATTTTATTGTTGTTATTGTATTATTGTATGAGTAAGCACATCTTGAGCAATGTACAATCCTGAGTCAAATTCCTCGTATGTGTACACATACCTGGCAAATAAAGCTGATTCTGATTCTTAAAGTCAATTAACTTCCCATCCCGAGGCTACACTTCACTCAGATTGCTTTTATTTACTCACCCCTGGTGATTGCACATTATGATCTTTCTTACAGAGCAAGTAGGAGTAAAATAACTAGACTGGCACCATAAGCAACAGCAATCTGAAGCCAATTGTGAATTTTTGTAGCGTGGCTGAGTCAAAGAAATTGTGTAACCACAAAATGTTTTTGAGGCAATGAGTTTAAATGAAACGAATACAAACTAGATCTAATGCATGGTGTGGTGACAGGGTTGCGTTGGGTCATAATGATCTCAGAGGAAAGAAACTGACTAAAATCACAACAATCTGGATACATCAGCCTCATGAGTTTGTTTGTATTTCCCAGATGCGAGGGTGTATGATGCCTATGTGGTCTACCACATGCAGAGCATGGACAAGGCCACTGAGGAATCACTCTGTCGTTTCGTCACAAAGGATTTGCCCTCCGTCCTTGAGGAAAAGTGTGGCTATCGTCTCTTTATCCATGGGAGGGATGACATACCAGGAGAAGGTCCTAATTTTATTTGTTGGTTTTTGTAATTTTAGACATTATAGGCCCCAGTATAAAACTACTGGGAAGGCCAAGTTCTTCAAAACACAACCTGAAATGTTACATAGAGTCTTACTCACTTTATAAGCTTTGGTTTTCTTATACTTTTTTAGAGTTGTTTTATTGTCTCCAAATTTTGTGCCGACCAATTTATGAGACACAATGATGTCATAGTAGGAATAAAGCCATGGCATTCTATCCTTCTCTCCTTCAGTCACAACCTCTCCTTGCATTTCCTTCTTATTGTCTTAATTAATGTTGTCTGACCCCACAGACCGTCTGGAGCTGGTGGAGGACCGCTTGAAGCAGAGCAGGAGGCTGATGGTGATCCTCACCCCAGGTTTAGGATCAGAGTCCAAGATCACGGACCAAAATCTTGCCCCACCGGAATACTCAGTTATAGGAGGGTTTGACTGGCAGGTAGGAGTCTTACAAATGTAGAAATAAAGGCGGTGCTTAGTTTTGGCTGCAAAGTGTGGTAGTTTTGAATAAAACATAAGTTATAAATACTGAGAAGGACTGAGGACATGCTAATAGTCTGGGTGAGATGAATTTTCCACCTATGCCAAGATGAATGTAGCTAAAAAGCAGTAAAATTATGCAAGAGGAGTGAAGAGCTGTTGATATATCACCTTATTCATCTTTACAGTCTGATTAGTACTTTATTACAGACACACACACAGGTTGCCGCAGTGCGTAGCCTAAAGCAGTTAGGTGCGGCTGTGGCTCAGGAGATAGAGTGGGTTGCCTATTAATCGGTTCAATCCCCGGCTCCTCCAGGCGGCATGTTGAAGTATGCTTGGGCAAAATACTGAACCCCATTATTATAAGAAAATGTTACTGATCATTTTCCAGGTGGGGCTCCACCATGCGCTGGTCCAGAGGGAAATGACTGTGATTCTGATCCAGCTGGGGGACACTGAGCCACAGGGATACACACACCTTCCTCCTGGCTTGCAGCATCTGATTCGCAAGAGTGCTCCCATTAGGTGGCCAGAGGATTCACGGGCTGCTGTCGCATGGAACTCTCGCTTCTGGAAGAGAGTGCGATATCTGATGCCTGCCAAACCTGCCAAAAAATGTCAACAATCTGCTATTATCTGAAACACGTATGGACTCTAATTCCTTTTAGCCTTCCTAGAATGACAGATATATAGCATGTACAAAACAAAACAATATTACACCACTTCTCATCACACCCTTTATATATATGTGATGTTATGTTATATATATATTATATGATATATAGAATGATGCCAATACGTCTAAATAGTCTCGTTTAACTGCAGGTTCAAGGGTCGGTTTATTTCTTCCTAGAAGTATGTACATTGTATTTCTCACATCCTTATCACCCCATGCTGGTTCAAAGACACAAAAAAAGCATGGCCACAGCCAGGTGAGAGGTCACTGAGAAAACACATTTTTTATGTAAAAAAATAATTTAAAAAACGCTTATAACCATGAGTCTGTCCTTGAAGTGCATTTTCTTTTATTTCAAATAATAATTATTTCTTATTTGAAATGGCATATTATGTATTGTTATAATTTAAATACATATTAGGTCTATGTATCTTTTCAATTATCTCCTTGAATATTTGCCTGGCTATACCATACCCAAGAGCTAATAAAATCACAATTTGGGAAGTACACTACAGTACATTAGCTAAGCACTGTTCTTTCCTGGCCATAGCTGTCATGTTTATTAAGCTTTATTGTGGTTGAACTTGCGTGTTGTAACACTTGTGTGATAAATTAGGGGAAAACCTGAATTATACTGCAGTTGTGCTCCTCTGCTCAAGTGATTTTAATAAAAAAAGAAGAAAAGAGAAAGTGAATTGAAAAAGATTAATCTTAAAATTGGCCGTTTTTGTGACATATATTGTGCTGGAATCTTGTTCAATTTTCATCTGTGTGTTGGCACTGACATTATTTCCTAAGTTAAAACTGTTAGTCTCAAAATGCGTTGATATGCATAGATTTATACTATACAGTGTATGCCCCCAAAACTTCATTGCGGGGCTAGGGCTCATGACCTCAGTATTTCTACAATCCTGGCTACGGCCATGAAAGAAATATCAAATAATCATAAATATAGGCCTACATGTAACATAATAAATGTGTAAATTGTTGAAATTAAAATGGTTCTCTGTATTTTAGACAATATATTCAAGGTGCTGGAGAGACCTCAGTAATTTAAAAATAGCTTTGCTTTGGCTCTGATCAGTATGGAAAATAAATGCTATTAATTATCTTATGACAAGCTGTTGGAGAGCTGACTGCTGATTATGATAAAGGTTCTAAAGGTTCAGCCAGTAGGTCAGTCTATAATCTTTAGTGTAACCCTGCTTTCCTGTTTATGTCCAGGGTGTTGAAGACCTACAGAGATGAGGAGCTTGCTGTGTTTTAAAAAAAATCTTGAAGAAATGCGTGATTAGATAACGAGGTTCTTTCAGAGGTGTTGATCATTTTGCATAATACTACTAGGAGAACAGAAATAAAAGCCCCTAAATATATAAAAACATAAATCAACAGAAAATTAATTGGAATTAACTGAGAAAAAGACCGAGATTTTTTTGTAGAAGATTTAACAACAAATTTCTGCTGCACGCATCAGAATGGAGTTGTTCTCAATATGCCTGGTTGTTTGATTAATGCAAGTCCAAGTCTTAAGCTGATGATACACTGGGCAACTTTTTGAGCAATGTTGCTAGGCAATCTCGCTAGTGCCAAGTCCGACTATGTTTTGAATGGATAGCGGCGGCGGGGCGGGTGGGGGAGTGGAGAGGGAAGGGGATTACAGTAGTAATCTTTACTGATTACCACTGACGCATGAAAGTAGAGAGTTGCTCTGTGTATCATCAGCTTTATTTGTAGTTGAAACACTGATTTAAATTTATTTCCACCCAAACTTCATTGTACATGTGTGGCTTTGTACTGGTACGGTATGGTGTGTGCGTATGTCGGTGTGTGGTCACAAACTGTGCTTCCGGGTAGCATCTGAGGAACCAAAGATTGGTTCCTATTTATGCCAAGAGCGCTAATTGTCTCTTTCACTGGTTATTAATTAAAAATAACTCAAAAATAGTACAGAAGTTGCTTGTGGTTTCTTGTGTAATGTATTTTAGTGGTATAGGCCTAAATATAGCAAAGTATAGACATATTCATTTGGGAATGTTGTGATGCTATGTAATAGGCTACTGCATAAATTACACACCTCCATCAACACTGGCTCAACAGAAAAAGGCAGGTAACCAATCGTTTTCACATCACACAACAATTATTTTCTCCAGTGATTTACCCTTTTGGAGTATTTCTGATGAATATAACTGCTGTTACAGCATTTTTCCAATAGAGGGAGACATGATCTTACTACTGCATGCAGCCCTGTTAATAGAGCTTTCGTCACATAATTTAATTCTTTAAAAGACAAAAGGGAAAACATCCATAAATTGTTTATATAATTTTTACTGATGTGGCACTGATGTGAAAAAAGCCTTTATTGCATGGGCTGGAGCGAAGCAATGCAATTTCACACATGCAACTAGGTGACTGGTTGTAGTGTCGCTGGGTGGAGACGGTCAGGCAGGTAGCCTACAGTACAATAAGGAAATGTTTAAACCTCGCAATGCCTTAAAACACACACACACATGCAAAAAAGAAATTGACTGTGTATTTTCCGACTTTCTTAGCTGCTTATTCTGTGCGCAAGTCCTGCTCCACCTTCTTTCAGAGCGGTTTCTCTGCGTGTGATGGAAGATTCGCTCCAGACAGAATTGGATGCCACGTAAAAGTAAGTGAGCTGTCATGCATCTTTTCTCTGACACACGACATGACATAGTTTATATTTCAGACATCTTAATGAATGCCACAAAATACATTTTAGAGGGAAACTATCAAAACGCCACTTTTTCTTGCTGGAATACAGGAAGTAAAATGCGTGATAAAGTAAAACTGTTTGGTAGCAACTCAATTAATTCCGAAAAATCACTGCAACAGCAGACTTAAAAATACAATAAACTCTATACAAAGTCACTACTGAGTGTCGTAAACACAGTATAGCCTACATGTATACATTCACTTCAGAACTCTATAGTTTATAGAAACGGTTTGTAGAAGTTAACAGAAAATGCTGTAAAACTGCAAACAGCTGTAAAGTCAGTAGGCTATAAATCAAGTGTAGTACACAGACACACTTAAAGACCCTTAAAGATCTAAAATAACAACTATAGTGATTTTATATGTGTAGTAGAAAAAAACATGCAGTAGAGGAGTAAACAACTGTTTACTTGTCTAAGTTCAGCTTGCTTTCCTCTTCTCAAACACACACACACACACTCTCTCTCTCTCTCTCTGCTCTTTGTGTTTATTTGCAAAATAGATGTCTTGACTTAAACACAGCCCTTTGTTTGGCTTTTGACTTATGGTATTTTGACGTATGGTATTATGTCAATGGGTGACTGTTTCAGTCACTCAACACAGCGTACCCTGAAACACAATCACATACACTAACTTGGAGTTGAAAGCTATGATGGTGAGAAACAGGAACGCCAATCATTGGCCAACAACTTTTAGATTTAGTATTTAGCGGTTTCTGCCATCTCAGCGTGTAATAATATATTGTATGCACACTTCAGTACAGGAGACACGGGTCATGTCACTGTTTTATTATGAAATCTCAGATATTAGACATATCTGAACCATATTGCTCATAATATGACAATTTAGGGGCTATCCTTTTAAATACAAATGTAGGGCATATTCTCAGGCACTACCTATTTTGCTGTATTGAATTGAATTGTGACACTAAGCTAGCGTCAACGTCAAACTGTCAGATTCCTAAATAGATAGGCTACACCCATGATATGATAATGTGTTTTATTAATTATTAGGTGCAGGAAAAAACACAACAAAAAAAGCACAGATATATGCAGTGCTCTGTGTGACATGACTGCAGATTCTGACAAAATAAGAAAACTTAAAGCAGGGGTATCCAATTAGAATTCAAAGAGGTCCAGTTAGAGAAAATTTCCTGAAGCAAAGGTCCGGAACATCATAATGACTAACTTGCGTTATCATTCAGTACCATAACATATAGTTGTATCAACATATGTTTTTAGTCAACAACAGACTGTCAAATCAAATATTTCAAGAATATTTACTGTCAGTTTTCACATCAACCTGGAGGGATAATAAATAATAACTACTCTAATAATATATTCTAAATTTAAGTAAAATAAAATAAAGTGCCTAATTTTTAGAAAAAATTAAATAAAAAAGTGTAGCTTGAAGTGATGAAGTGTAGTCTTAAACAATTTTATAATAAAAACTCAACACATCAAATGAACAGCTGTAATGCCTCTTCTTCTCTTTCATTCCCTCTTATAAACCTCTTTCCTGCTTTCTCTTCCGTGAGAAACTTGAGCTCTACCCACATGGAAAGAACCTATATGAGGATATATGCACATATATGAAACCTATATGCAGTTTATATGCACATATATGCTGCATATATACAGCATATATGCAGCATATATGCAGCATATATGATAATATATATGCTGCATATATGCGTTTATATGCAGCATATAGGCAAAATTGAGGTGCATATACAGGCCATATAGGTCTCCGGTATTGCTTCTTTATATCCACATATAAAACTCTATATGTGGATGCAAGATATGTCTCCTATATAGCTCATGACAGGATCTGGTCATTTTGTAGCTCACATCTCACTTTGGCAACTGTCATACATGATGCCTAGCTCATATTTTCTATTATCAAGGCAATAACTAAGAACTAAAAGAAAACTATGCAAGGACTTATGTATGTGCGTGAAATTGGTATCACATGTAATTGGCATGTTATGGAATTTAACAATTAAGTGAGAGGAGATGGAAAGCTATGATGTCTACATGTTTTCCTGAAACATTTACAAGGTCAATTCTTTCTTGTATAAAGATAGTGGAAAAGAAGGAAATGTATAACAAAATGGTTTGTTGTTTTTTTATTTTGTCAATCAAGCCTTTTTTCCCCCCAATTTCAAGTCACTTCCAGATTCACATTACAGCTCATACACATCCACACATTCACCGTTACATCCACCAAATGCAATGCAAAATGCAATGTTTTCTGTATTGTCTTAATGCAGTTTCTAGATGAATTTGGCTGAAAGGTCATTAGTCTAAATGTAGCAAAAAACAAAAAAAACAAAACAAAAACAAAAGTACATAGAACATACATTCAAGTAATCATCATCATCCCACATCTATCTGAGCATTTCACTGTGGTTAATGAATTTGAAGACAATCTCAACATTTCTGTTCAGTTTTTTGTCTTATTTTTGTTCTGTTATTTGATTGTTCTTAAGTTAATAAATAATGTAAATTTCTACATTTTGGGCTATTATTTATGTTGCCTAGTAGCTATGGATTTTTATAATTTTGCTAATATATAGGTAAACATAGGTGCATATATGTGCACTGATATAGGTACATGTATGCACTGATATAGGTACGGATATAGGTACATGTATGTACGGATATAGGTACATGTATGCACGGATATATGTACGGATATAGGTACATGTATGCACGGATATAGGTACACATATATGCATATATGTACATATAATATAGGAAAACGGCCAATTTTATATATGTCACATATATTAAAAACCTATATCAAAACCTATATTAAAACATATATGTTTATATAGGTTCTTTCCATGTGGGTAGTTTGTCCTGCCTGCTAGCATTGGAGTTCTATGAGATATTCTGGTGTTGAACTGCCCTTGGGAGGAATGTACATGTAAAAATC